ATAAAGATAATTATATGAAGCTATTGGTGGAAATTAAAAAGGATCTAGAAAGCTGGAAACATATGCAATTATCATTTATGGGAAGAATAGCAACAGTTAAGATGAACATTTTACCCAGACTGATTTTCCTATTTCAGACAATTCCAATCATAAAAGAGCAAAAATATTTCAAAAAGAGTTGACAAGAAATTTCATCTGGGAAGGGAAGAAGCCAAGAATTGTTAAAATTATTGCAAGATTCTAAGGAAAGAGGAGGGTTTGCATTACCTGATTGGAAATTATACTACAAAGCGGCAGCACTCACATGGGTGAAGGACTGGATTACATTGGAAGACAAAAGACTGCTAAAACTGGAAGGTCATGACCTAATGTTGGGTTGGCATGCCTTTGTTTGGTGAAGTTCCTGCATTGTGCAGGGGGTTGGATTAGATGACCCTGGTAGTCTCTTCGAATTCTATGATTCTAAGAGCTGCAGAAAGAACTTCAAGAGCAGATGTCACATGGGGATCCATTTAAGGATATCATCTTGTTTGTCAAGGAAGAGAGGAAGAAAAACAACATATCGGAACAGGCAATGATTGGCATTATCTGGTTGAGCACTGTGGAATGGAATAAAAAGGAGCTAGTAGCAGCAGAACAAGCCATCGAGCACTTGAAACAATACAGCCTTCTCCTTGCTGCCTTTAGAACTCAAGGTCAATCTGAACTGATGCTGTTGCTCAAGATTCAGGAGTACTCTTATGACAATATCCAATTCATGAAGGCCTTCCAGAAAATATTGGTACTTTTCTACAAAGCAGAGGTGTTAAGTGAAGAACTCATCCTAAAGTGTTCTAAAGATGCCTGCTTTGCAAAGGGAAAGAGTGTCTTCCTGGAGTAAATGAAAAAAATTGTAGAATGGCTCAAGAATACCAAGGAAGAATCTGAATCTGAAACAAAATAAGGTGACTAAATTGTAAATCTGTTGACAGTAAAGCAAACGGGAGCTATAGGTAAAATGTCATGTCTCGTGTCTTTCTGATTCTTGCATCCTACCTCCCTGTATCAAGCATGATATAAAGGCTTCTTGGAAAATTTATTTTGTGTATTCTACAGTTATTAGAGAATACTGAATTTAGTGGTGTGTTTTTTTAAACTATGCGTGGGTAGCTTACAGGAGCTATAAATTTTGATTCTAACATTGGATTAATCCTTTTAATTACATTCTACCTGTATTTATCCGTATCTGAAGAAGTGTGCTTGCACACAAAAGCTTATACCTTGAATAAAACTTTATTGGTCTTAAAGGTGCCACTGGACCCAGACTTTGTTCTTCTTATTCTACCTCCTGTATTTCCTACTGTAACATAATTTAAGGCTTTCCACAACTTGAATTCATTTTATCTCTGGGTTTCCTATAAAGTTTATGAGTAGACATGATTTCAAGGGTGGGGTGGGTGGGAATTTGTTTATATAAATTCTGTTTGCAAATTAAACTGTACAAGTATTCAAAGTAAAAAAAACTGGTTAAATAACAGGAAACAAAGAGTAGGAATAATTGGACAGTTATCACAATGGTGGGAAGTATGTAGTGGAAGTAAGCAGGGATTGGTATTGGGGCCGTTACTATTTAATTTATTCATAAATGATCTGGAACTAGGGGTGAGTAGTATAGTGGCCAAGTTTGCAGATGTCACAGAATTATTCAGGATGGTGAAAACCAAGGATGTTTGTGAAGAGCTTTGAGGACCTCCACAAACTGGGTGAGTGGCAATAATGTGGCAAGTGAAGTTCAGTGTTGGTAAGTGTAAGGTGATACACATTGGGACAAAAATTTTCATCCTCCAGTATAGGCTAATGGGGTCTGAACTTGCTGAGACTGAGAGGGAAGAAGATCATGGGGTTGTAGTGGGTACCTCAATGAAAGTGTCAACCCAGTGTGCTGCAGCAGTGAAGAAGGCACAACTTTGTGTTAGGGATTATTAGGAAAGGGACTGAGAGTAAAACAGCCAATGCCCCTGTATAAATCTATAGTGTGGCCTCATTTGGAATACTGTGAACAGCTCTGGTCACCGTATTTCAAAAAAGACATCGTAGAGCTGGAAAAAGTACAGAGGAGGGCAACCAAGTTGATTATGTGGTTGGAGCACCTTCCCTATGAGGAAAGGCTGAAGAATCTGGGACTTTGCAGTTTAGAAAATAAATGACTAAGGGGGGCATTATAAAATTATGCGTGGGGTAGAGAGAGTTGACAAAGATAATTTTTTCTTCCTCTCCCAAAACACTAGAACTTCCATCCAAAGAAGCTGGTGGGCAGTAGGTTCAGGATGGCCAAAAGGAAAATACTGCTTTACACAGAGAGAGTGATTAAAATGTTGAATTTGCTGCCAGAGGATGTAGCGATGGCCACAGGAATAAACATTTTGAAAAGGGGGTTAGGTAGATTCATGGAGGATATGTCTATCAATGGCTACTAGCCATGGTGACTGAGGGGAACCTCCACATTCAGAGGCACTATGCCTCTGAATCCCCGAGCCAGGAGACAGCATCAGGGGAAGCCCTCGGCCTCTATGCACTGTTGTTGGCTGTCCAGAGGAACTGGCTGGTCACTGTGTGAGACAGGATGCTGGACTAGATGGATTATTGGTCTGATCCAGCAGGGCTATTCTTATGTTCTTAATATGGAACAACATACTACTAATGAATAGGGAACAGGGAGATGGTTGCATATCTATTCACGCCTGAAGTAATTATTTCTCTATATTTTATTAATCAGATTTATTTATTTATGTTTTGTGGTTGAAGGCTGTTACTGGTGCTTTCTTCCTTCTTCTAGAAGAGAGGTTTGTGGGTTAAAAAAGACTTGTGTAATCAGAGAAACCGTCATAGAGCTAGTTTAATGCTAAGGGAACGGTAGAGAGAGAGATCTTGTCACTATATCAAGGTATATTTTGTACATGGCTTTTTACACTTTTAATGTTATGAATTTTATAACAAGGACAGCTTTTTAACAGCTCAGTTGTAGTGATTTTAGGTGCTTTGAGACTTTGGTGAGGAAGTCTACAGAGTACCAGAGGATATGCAAGCTGGTGCTATGGACAGGAGTTTCTTTGTGATCCCTTCACTTTTATGTGTGAAATATCTAGGTCAAGATGTGAAGTGCTTTCCTCCCAGTGTGTGATTTCTTTTTTTTAACCTAAACAGTCCTGTCATTCTGTAACATTGATAAGACACTTAACTCATACATGCCCGGGAGGAGAATTGGTGGTAGTGGGAAATACCGTCAAGTAGCAGCCAATTTATGGTAACCTTGTAGGTTTTTCAAGGCAAGAGACCAACAGAGGTGCCTGCCTCCATATAGCAGCCCTGGACTTCCTTCGTGGTCTCCCATCCAAGTACTAACCAGGGGCCATCCCTGCTTGGCTTCCGAGATCTGATCAGATTGGGCCTAGCCTGGGCTACCCAGGGCCATCCAGCTCAGGGTGGGAAGAGAATTAGACACCAATTAAGCTGCAAGTAGTTGGTTTCTTCTAGTTTCGTGTGGGAAGCCTCAAAGTTCCCTTTTCCCCATCTGCTTGGAAAAAATCAGTGTAATACAACTTGAACATCTGACCTGAAGAGCAGCTTTCTTGTATCACATTTAATTACCTACAGTTTTCAAAGTGTTCTGGATCTTGGAATGTTTATTGCATGGAAGTATTTTGATGTAACTTTAATTGCATGGCTTCCCTGTGAAAAACACATGATAAGCCAGCATGTTGTAGTGCATACAGTTTCAGGTTAGGATCCTTGGGAACCTGAGTCTGAATTCCCACTTCTGCCATGAAAGCTTGCTGGGTGACTTTGAGTCCATCACATATTTGCAGCCTGACCTACCACACAGAGGTATCGTTTTAAGAATGGAGGAAGAGTGAACAATGTTCTAAGCTGCTTTGAGTCCCAACTAGAGAGATGAGAGATGTAAATTATTAAATCCCAAATGTGTGCAAATAATGTTTCTCTCTGCTTCAACACAGCTTTTAATTGTTTTAAGTACCATTATGGCTGTGTGAGAATGACAGTTGAGAGATTTTGCTAGTTTTCAAGCATACACCTTGACCACAGTTGGTGGATGTCTATAAGAAACAGAAATATTAAAATCCCCATACAGCAGGAGGTGAGTATGGTACTTAATGGATTTTTTAGGTTTTGACAAAGCCGTTACCAGATGTGTGTTCTGGCAGGCTGTGTTTTGTTCATCACAGTTCCTTGCTGGTACAACACATTTATATTAATCTGACCTAAGCTAGATATTAAGCTAGTAAGTATAAACATAGAAAATCTTGCCTCCACAAAGGGGCAGGGTTATAGATGACCTTTGGATCTCTTCTACTTTTCCATTTCATAATGTACTTTATCATTTCATAATTCAATTACTAACAGCAATCATAATCATAAATGTAGATTCAGGTGGGTAGCCGTGTTGGTCTGAAGCAGCGGAACAAAGTTCAAGTCCAGTGACACCTTTAAGACCAACAAAGTTTTATTCAGGGTATAAGCTTTCATGTGCATACACACTTCTTGAGATACATTGAAATGGAAGTTACCAGTCCATGCATATAGCTAGAGCATGAGCAGCAAATTAGCATACAGCATAATAAAGGTGTTCAACAGATACAAGGACCAAGCTGGAATAACACGCTTAGTTTATATGGTCATCATTTGTTTGGGTTTAATTCTGGGGGGAGACATAGTGAAGGAAATAAATATATCAGAATTGGAGATTGATGGGCAGATGTACTCTTCTTAACTGTGTAATGCTGGGAGTAATTTAGTGAGACCCTGCTATCATGCTCCACCTGTCTCCTCTCAAGCATGGAGGCTGCACTGTGGTGTCGTAGTTGCATACTAAAGACTATAATAAACTCTTCAGTACTTGTTAAGTCCTTTACTGTTTTCCTGGTATTCCGCTGTGCTGGCAGCTTATTAACTTTTAATTTAATAGGCTTCACATGCCTTTTCCCTTGTGATTTATTTTTTAGGTTCGGCACAAAGTGTCTGATCAGGTAATGGCTTTAAAGATGAACACACTAAGCAGCAACAGAGCGAATATGCTGAAAGAAGTCCAGCTCATGAACAGGCTTTCACACCCAAACATATTAAAGTAAGAGAATGTGCTTACACATGTACTTATACCTGTCTGCAGGTCTACAAATGAAACTAATTTCTGACCTTACAAAAAAACCTAGTCCTTTCTGGCTGTGGGAAGAGGCTTGAAAATATTGAATTAGTATCTCTTGAAAGTTCAGAAATTAAAGCGTCTTTGTCCTTCTCTTTTAATCCCTAATACCCTCCTGTTTTACCATACTATTCCTTGGCCTCTGTTTTTTTCTACCCTTCTGCAAAATGTTGAATCTGCAATTAGTCCAATATGCAAACTGAACAGTTTTGTCTACATTTATATACTGTAAATGTATAAACCACTTTCACAAGAATGTGAGATGAACATGTAATTATTATCTATGCTAATATGAACAACAATGTTTAAATGTGTGCAGAAAGTCATGCATTGATGGTCAAAACCATTGGGGAAGCTTGGAGACCATTTAAAACTACAATCCTAGAAGCTCAGAAAAAATATATACCGCAAGTTAGGAAAGACACAAATAGGTTTAGAAAAAAGCCTGCATGGTTAACAAACAAAGTAATGGAAGCTGTAAAAGGTAAGAAGGATTCCTTTAAGTGGTGGAATGCTTGTCTCAGTGAGGCTGATAAAAGGGAACACAGGCTGTGGCAAATAAAATGCAAGTCTGTGATCAGGCAGGCAAAAAGGGAATATGAGGAGCATATAGCAAAAAACATAAAGACCAACAATAAAACTTTCTTCAAATGCATTAGAAGCAGAAACCAGCCAGGGAGGCAGTGGGGCCCTTGGATGACCAAGGGGTAAAAGGTGTACTGAAGGATGATAGGGAAATGGCTGAGAAGCTAAATGCATTTTTTGCCTCCGTCTTCACTGTGGAAGATGAGAAGTGCTTGCCCACTCCAGAATCGCTGATTTCGGGAGGGGTGTTGAGAGACCGGAGTCAGATTGAGGTGACAAGAGAGGAGGTCCTATGACTGATAGACAACTTAAAAACTGATAAATCACCAGGCCCAGATGGCATACATCCAAGAGTTCTGAAACAACTCAAATGTGGTGGACCTCCTGACAAAAATATGTAATCTTTAATAAAAAGCTATCTCTATTCCTGAGGACTGGAAGGTAGCTAATATCACTCCCATCTTTAAAAAGGGTTCCAGAGGAGATCCGGGAAATTACAGGCCAGTCAATCTGACGTCGATACCGGGTAAATTGGTGGAAACCATTATTAAGGAAAGAATTAGTAGGCACATAGATGAACAAAACCTATTGAGGCAGACTCAACATGGGTTCTGTAAGGGAAGATCTTGTCTCACTAACCTATTAGTGTTCTTTGAGGGGGTGAACAAACATGTGGACAAGGGGGATCCAATAGATATTGTTTACCTTGACTTCCAGAAAGCTTTTGATAAAGTTCCTCATCAAAGGCTCCTAAGCAAGCTCAAAAATCATGGGATAAAAGGACAAGTCCTTTTATGGATCAAAAACTGGCTAATTAATAGAAAACAGAGAGTGAGTATAAATGGGCAGTTCTCCCAGTGGAGGGGTGTAAGCAGTGGGGTACCACAGGGATCAGTACTTGGTCCACTGCTTTTTAACTTGTTCATTAATGATTTGGAGTTGGGAGTAAGCAGTGAAGTGGCTAAATTTGCGGATGATACGAAGTTGTTCAGGGTGGTGAAAACCAGTGAGGATTGTGAGGCACTCCAAAGGGATCTGTCAAAGATGGGCAAGTGGGCGTCAACATGGCAAATGGGGTTCAATGTGGCCAAGTGCAAGGTGATGCACATTGGAGCCAAAAATCCTAAATATAAATACACATTGATGGGGTCTGAACTGGCAGAGACAGATCATGTCATCTGGAGAACCTCACCATCACTTCCCCGGCCAGATTATTCTTTCTTGTAAATTCAGAATATGACCTAAAGATCGTATCTATTTCACTTTGTAAAGTATCCACTTTAATATCTGCCACAGGGCCTAAAGAGTCACACATAATCTGTTTCAGATTTTCTCCTGTCTCCTCGGGGATCCCTTGAAATCTAAGGGTATAGCTTGCTAACCTGTTAGTGTTTTTTGAGGGAATTAACAAACATGTGGACAAGGGGGATCCAATAGATGTTGTTTACCTTAACTTCCAGAAAGCTTTTGATAAAATTCCAAATCAAAGGCTCCTAAGTAAACTCAGTAGTCACGGGATAAAAGGACAAGTCCTCTTGTGGATCAAAAACTGGCTAATTAATAGGAAACAGAGAGTGAGTATAAATGGGAAATTTTCTCAGTGAAGACTGGTAAGCAGTGGGGTACCACAGAGATCAGTACTCGGTCCAATGCTTTTTAATTTGTTTATTAATGATTTGGAGTTGGGAGTAAGCAGTTAAGTGGCTAAATTTGCAGATGACACAAAGTTGTTCAGGGTGGTGAGAACCAGGGAGGATTGTACCAATTAATCGGTAATTTGTGCCGATTAATGCAAGCCGCCCTAAGCCTGTTTGCGGGAAGGCGAGATACAAATGGAACAAACAAACAAACAAATAAATAAAGTGTGAGGCACTCCAAAGGGATCTGTCGAGGATGGGTGAGTGAGCATCAACGTGGCAAACGGGGTTCAATGTGGCCAAGTGCAAAGTGATGCACATTGGAGCAAAAAATCCGAACTGGCAGAGACTGACCAAGATAGAGATCTTGGAGTCATAGTAGATAACTCACTGAAAATGTTGAGACAGTGTGCGACTGCAATAAAAAAGGCCAATGCTATGCTGGGGATTATTAGGAAGGGAATTGAAAATAAATCAGCCAGTATCATAATCCCCCTGTATAAATCAATGGTGTGACCTCATTTGGAGTACTGAAAAGTGCAGAAAAGGGCAACTAGAATGATAAAAGGGTTGGAACACTTTCCCTATGAAAAAAGGTTAAAATGCTTGGGGCTCTTTAGCTTGGAGAAATGACGGCTGAGGGGTGACATGATCGAGGTTTATAAGATTATGCATGAAATAGAGCAGGTAGAGAAAGAAGTACTTTTCTCCCTTTCTCACAATACAAGAACTTGTGGGCTCTCAATGAAATTGCTGAGCAATCTGGTTAGAACAGATAAAAGGAAGTACTTCTTCACCCAAAGATTGATTAACGCATGGAATTCACTGCCACAGGAGGTGGTGGTGGCTACAAGCATGGACAGCCTCAAGAGGGAATTAGGTACACATGTGGAGCAGAAGTCCATCAGTGGGTATTAGCCACAAGGTATAGCTAGGAACTCTCAGGCTGGGGCAAGTGATTCACTGTATTCTTGGTGCTTGGGGGGGGGGGAACAGTGGGAGGGCTTCTAGTGTCCTGGCCCCACTGGTGGACCTAATGACACCTGGAATTTTTGGTCACTGTGTGACAGAGTGTTGGACTAGATGGGCCATTGGCCTGATCCAACATTGGCTTCTCTTATGTTCTTATGTTCATGCTACTGAAAATCAGGCTGAATATAATGATTGCTCACCTAAAAATCATTTTTAAAAACCTGAGCATTAAGTAGGAGAGGGGACGCAGGAGAGTTCTGCCATTTGAAAATTTAATCTGTATCCAGCCCCATGTCTACAGTGAATTAAAACCTTAAGGGAATAGGTTCTTTATGGGTGTTAATTCCTTTGGCTGCAAAATACGTGTATGGGGGGGGGTCTCTCTTACACACTTATTCAGGTGTGGTAATTCAGGTAGCCTATGAATGTTTTTTAAACAGGAGATTTTATTTTTATGCAAACGCTCGCTGTGACAGCTGTCTAACTATCAGACCATATTACCCAGGGGACTTAATGGCCAGAAAATGATCAAGATTTACATTTACATTTATGGCCATTTCATCAGGAAGACAAAGTACATACTTATTCCTTTATTTCACCATGTTCATGAAAATGTAAATGACAGGTCTTGTTAATACCTCAAGATTTTGCACATTATTACACATGGGGAGTATTAGGCTTTTGCTTTATTATTAAACTAGGAAGAAGGCCCGTTGTGGAAATGGAGACAGTGAGCTCTAGAAATAGGCTGTGGGGTGAGTGGCCTGGACTTTAGGAGTCTTTTTAGCATCAGTTTGCCAGGCGCACTCCGAGGCCAGCCGCTCTGAGCGAAGAAGTGGTGCTTTCCAGGACGGGCCGGCCTGGGAGGAGATTGATGTTGCCTGTAGAGGAGCTCTGGTGGCGTCCCGCTCATGTCCCCCATCCCCCCCCCGGGAAGTGGTGCTCTGCAAAGCAGGAGTGTGGGCAGCCGAGGAAAGGAAAGCAGCGGCCAGGGCGGGGGCCAGAGGTCTGCGCGGGCATTGCTCCGTGCAGGGTGTGTGTGTGTGGCTGTGAGACTGTGCTCCAGTGGCGGGTGAGGGACAGGCAGGGTGCCTGGGTGACGAAAGGGGCCTCACGGCTTGGCTCCACTTCCTCCCCCCTGCCGTAAGCAGCCTGTTGAAGGCTGGAGCAAGGCTTTGCATCAAGTGGTGCAGCTTTGCAATGCAGGCAACGCAGCCACCAATGGGTAGAGGCCCCTGGTGAGTGACACATCAGGGAGCAAAAGGCTGTGGATGTGTATGGAACATTCAGACAAGAGGGACACGAGAACTCAAATATATATAAGGAGAGATATATCAATATAATAGAGGTGGAGGAAAAATTTATTTAGTTCTGCTTTTTTTTTTTTTTTTTTGCAAAGGAGTATTATGTTTTATGTTTTCCTGGTATGTAAACTATGGGTGAGCCCTCCAAGGTTTGAAACAGAAACCATAGTGTTAACATCTTCAAATGTACTAAATACTGGCTTGAAAGTTGATAGTGTACATGTTTCTCATTTTTAAAAAGTTGTTTTCTTCTTTCTTTAGGTTTATGGGTGTCTGTGTACATCAAGGGCAACTGCATGCACTTACCGAAGTAAGTACCAAGCTAACTGTGGTATATCCTTTTTGGGCTAAATTACCAGTAATCATACTAAGAAATATTTGTTTCACCCATACAGCCTAGTATCAGAGTTATGCAGATATAATTGCAATGGTTCCTGATTGGACCTCCTGATTTCCAGTTACCCATTCCTAATTGGAATCAAGTAATGGACCAACTCAGTAATAGAACCCTCATACCCTATAAGGGTATACTCATATATTATATCCTATGAGGGTATACTCATATACTCCTATGGTTATAAAAATGCCAGGATTTCTTGCATACCATATACAATATTACTGTAGTTTTTGTTTTGATTTCACAGCCATCCTTACTGTAGTAGAATGTATAGGATCATGTGTTATTAAGAGCGTGTAGCTATACAGTAGATGTATGAGAAAAACACGCAGCCTAGGTGATTCAAGCTGGCAACCATCTTCCTCAGTTCTCCCTCCTGTATATCACATAAAACTAGCACATGTCTTGGATTTCACGTCTGTGTTTTTTAACTTGTTTTTATGACTGGTCAAGGATAAGGAATCTGGAGCTTCTTGTAAAATGGTACACGTGTATTCTTGTGACATCCTGTACACATGCAACAAAGTAATAAAGGAACTGTTACAAAGGTGTTAAAAGAATTCGGAAATTTTTATTATGCATCTTCTGCCTGGTGTGTTCTGTAGCCATGCCAGAAAGCAACACATGGACTATTACAGGCTTTGTTTCCATGCACCCTTGGAAGTTCCTGCACACTGTTAAAGAAAATATGGGCTTTTTGTCTGAAGAAAAGTTAAACGCATATGGCCTTCTGTTGGGAAAGAGAAATTAGAAGCAACCAGCTTCACTTTGTATTGCTTCCTTCAGAAAGTGGTCTTGTTGGAAAATTGGATATGGAGGAAGCAGTGAATGTGTTTAAAAAAATCAAAATGGAATTGGTTTAGAGTTTTTCCGCATCATAATGCCAGTATTAAATGCCAGAAGAGTAGCCAAGGTGCTCTGTGGTCACACAAGAAAGGCATAGCCAAAACGACATGTATGTTCTGTTCTCCACCCATGCCCCTTTTTTCCAAAACTTCCCTGGGGTCAGAAAGGACTGCTGAAAAGAGGGGAACATGGGAAAGATCTGCAATCTTTTCATCCATCCAGTCCCTGCTTTGTGTGGACTCTACCTTTGCACGTGAACATTCTCCCACCAACTTTTTTTATTTATGATGCTTTGCAGAAATTGTACTATGAGGTGCCTGAGAATCAATGCTCCCTCTAAGCTGTGGAGTCTTATGAGCAAAAATCCTACTTTGTGAGCTACTGGCATTAAAGTTGTGAGCAAGTGATTTGGCTGTTGCATAAATTAGTTTGCTGTGGAGCCATCCATCCTGAGCTAAGACAAAAATGTGTGAGCTGGAGGCTACAAAACTGTGAGCTAGTTCACACTAACTCCGCTTAGAGGGAACATTGCTGAGAATGCACTGAAATATGAAGTGCTTCCCATGTTCTCCAGTTGTCACAGCTGTTTTTTTTTAAAAAAAAAAACCCCTGGCAATCCACAGTGCAGGGAAAATAAGGCATTTAATGCAGACGTATGTCAAAAGCATTATGGGTGGTGTTGTACAGGTCTTTGCCCATCCAAGCCAGTCCAGGAATGGGAGGGAATCCTGTACTTTTCATTACATTAAACAACAAACCCCGAGATGGACTATATCCTCTCTGGTTTTCAGAACAATGTGCCACCAGAACCTCTACAGTAGTTTTCCCCAACCTGAGATTAGAGGTTCAAACTCTCAGTTGGCATCTGGAATTTAACACATTAGCAACTCATTCCCAGAGATGCACAATTAATCTTACAAAGGTAGCTTATATGGTGAGCAGAAGGCACAAGATTCAGACTTGGAATTCAGGTACAACATCAAAGACCATTTAGAATTAAGAATAATTTTTATAATCAGTACAGAGATTAGCATAGACTACCAGAGATTACAAAATAACAAAAGCTAGGGCAATTTGCCTTAACTACACATTAAAGATATTCATAATTACCAATGAAGTGTCCATATTCCAAGAGCGTCCAAGGTATACAGTCCAATTAGACACCAAGGGATTTTGAAGAGAAATCCCATCTTTGCACCCATGTGCTCCAGTTCACAAAGCGACTCTTTGTCTCTCAGGAGGCAGCATTTCCAGGTGCAATAAAACAGACTATGACAAGAAGAGAGAGAGCTAAGAGAGAGCAAGAGAGCTCATTCCCATCGGGATCAATCAATTAAACCCCAATCTAGTCATGATTAGCTGTGGCCATGCAGCCAGTCACGAGTGGACAGGGGATGTGCCCAATTGTTGGTTGTCATAGCTGCATGTGGGGGTAGGCCAGAAGTTTGGGAACTCCTCCTGCAGTCAGGTGACCCAGCTTGTAGCGTCTCCATCGCCTACGTGACTTGTTGAATGTGAGGCAGAGCCAGGAGCCATCAGGTCTGCCTCTTCCACTTAGAGGTGTGAAAGAATGTGTGGTTATATGGCATGGTTATAAAGTTTCTCTGGCAAAATGGTCAGACCATTTGTCTTGCAAGAGGAAATAAGACACAGCATGTTATCAGAAAGACATCACAGGAGAAGGCATGGATTATAGAAAGCAGAAATCAAAATTTCTATACAGGTGTGAACTTGAAACTTCTTTCACTTTTGGAAGAGACCCTGAGGCTATGAGCTTTTGCACAATTTCAGTTGAATGATGTTTAACTATTTTGTAAGCTCTAAGGACAAAAGTTCTACTGTGGAACCAGCCACAATTCTTGTCTCTAATACCGTTCTGATACAGTGAGGTGAAATTGCTCGTTGTGTATGAGGCTCCAGTCCTGATCATCAATTGCATTTCATTATTTTGAGAGAATCGTGTATATACTGATGAAACAAAATTAAGCTTGGGGCTTTGGAGAGAGAGGATTTGTGTACACCAGAAATGTTTAACTTAAAAGTTGTGCAAAAAGATATATTAATCTTGACACATTAATCATCTTGTAGCTTCTGTTCAGAGTTTTGTTTTTCAGTCCATTGGAAATAAACGAATAATTCCCAGACATCACAACAAACCCCTGCCTGTGATGGGTGTGAACACAGCTTGATTTCACATGTTATCATCACCACTGCTTCCTCCTATAATGCAGAGTGCAATGAAAGGCTTCCTGATTAATCAAACTCCAGTTTGCCATGATGTCTGTATGCAGGCACATGGCCAAACCCTTTGTGCATGAAGGGAGGAAGGAGTGGAGAAGACATCATATGAGAACAAGCATATTCATGCCTGTCATGGATCGGTGAAAGTTTTTTTGGTATCTGAATACAGCCTATGTTTTAACACTGTTGTTGTGCCTCTTCTGTGAACACTGTGTCTTTCTGCATAATTTTTGTTGTTTGGGTCCATACTGACATTTATAGTTATACTCATGTAGCAGGAATTAAACATTTTGTACTTGTGAAATTAGGCTTCTCTCAGTTCGTGCAACCATTGTGTCTTCCACATAGACTACCTTGCACAAGTTGTCAAGTTCACCCATTGGATAGTGCCTCTGACATTGTATGGCACTTTTAAGCCTAGCTTCATATGCCTGTTCTGTTTTTGTTAACTTTTCATTTTTAAAAATTTATATCTAATGTCTTTGTAGTTGCCCGCTGTGCAAAGTTAAGGAATTGTATCCTTCCAATTCTTCTGCTGGTGGAGGAGGCTTTTCCTGTACAATTGTGACAGAAATGTCCCTGCTGCTGGAGGAAGTTTTTTTGTGTTAGCAAAAGTTTCCTTGAATCAGGGGAAGAGAATGGTAGGATTCAGCTCAGAGTTGGAATATTTATCCAGGCCTGTTTTAATAAGAACAATAAGTGAAGAACACCAAGAGTCCCTATCTTCTTTTCATTCATCATGCAAGTATGGGGTGGCATTTTTTTGTCCCTTAATTGCCACTTGTGTTGGTATCATCCTAATAAAGTTATTGGGGTAGAGGTAGTGTTTGGAGCATGCTAAAAGGTCCTTCCAAAAAGAGCTGAATTTGGGGGTAGGGAAGAGATGTACACACTAATTGGTTTGCCTATGAGACTCAAAGGAACATCAAATAATTTTACACAATGTTAATTTTTATGATTATTCTGACTTTTAAAGATATTGTTACTCTCTCAGTTTATTTCTCTGTATGAGGGATTCTCAAGAGTATCTGAGGATCTGAAATCTCATGAACCTGCTGTTCTTTCACTCTTCACAAGGGAGGTCTGATTCAGATAGCCATTAATGTTCTTCCTTGGAGAACTGTGAGTCAAAAATGTGGATGGATATGCTCCCAAGTAGAGAAGACATAGGCTGTTACTTAGTCCTTGGAGTTTGTGGTTATGAACCCCATCCTTCAGGAGTGTTTCTTCTAAGGATAAAATCATCTCTAATTTCCTTTCTCCATCCTTTCAAGAGCATCACATTTTACGAAGCAGGGATTGGAACCTGGATCTCCCAGATCCTAATCTAACCACTCCACCACACTGGTGCTTGTGACTTGGGGGAAGGGGATGAAATTGACAACCAGCTTTTCTACTCAGAAATTCTCTTTTATGTAGGAAAATTAAGTTTCATGTGCCCACAAGGTCTCTGAAAGAGTGGAGAAATCCTGAGATAACTTAGTTCCTTATGGGGTATCACCAAAAGATAAGGCTTTAACAAATGACTGAATATAGGGAATTAGTATCCACAAATTCCAACTTATTTTCACCCTTTACCTATGCATTTTGTCTGGACTCTAAGTGATAAAAGTGAAACTCTGTCAGTGTTACCTAATTTTTCCCTTCATTTCAAGGAGCAGCAGAAACAATAGTGTGGGAGCCTTTATGGTGAAAGGGGTGAGCAGGCAAAGTTTCCCCCATGTATAAAGGGCATAGTGGGTTCCCCCCCCCCTTCTTTCCCCTAAGTGGAAGCAATCGCTGCAGGAGATGCTTTTTACAGAAAAGGAGTGACTGCTTGAATTCTC